TAGGAGCAATAGCAGTAGTAGTAGTAGTAGTAGTAGTAGTAGTAGTAGCAGTAGTAGTAGTAGTAGTAGTAGTAGTACTACTACTACTACTACTACTACTACTACTACTAGTAGTAGTAGTAGTAGTCGTGGTGGTGGTGGTGGTGGTAGTAGTAGGAGTAGGAGTAGGAGGAGGAGGAGGAGTAGGAGGAGGAGGAGGAGTAGCAGCAGTCGTCGTCGTAGTGGCCGCCGTCGTCGCAGCGGTAGCAGTAGCAGTAGTAGTACCATTATTTCTATTACCAGTGGAAGTAGAAGTAGTAGCAGTAGTAGTAGTAGTAGCAGCAGCAGTAGTAGCAGTAGTAGCAGCAGCAGCAGTCGTAGTAGTAGTAGTAGTAGTAGTCGTCGTCGTCGTCGTCGTCGTGGCGGTGGTAGTGGTGGCAGCAATGATTTTGATGGCAACAATTTTGTGAAGTCCGCTTTCACACGCGGTCAGAGAAGTCATTGCTCCGCTCCATGTTCAAGGGGCTGAGAGGTGCCCGCGCAGTTAAACATCATCCGTTTTTCTCTTCAGCCGAAATTTTGTGCCGACCCGCATCCGGACTTTCACCCGTAAAGAGAACTCGCTGAGCCATGCTGAGCCTTCTGCAAGCTGTTGCCAGGTTGTCGTGGGCGGTGCTTGCGTGCCGGCACAAGCCCTCTGCAACTTCGCGGAGCAGCTCAACCAGGGCAAGGCTCGATCCCAACGAAATTCCTCGTGCGGGAAAGTAGGAGCCATTGGCCGTTGCACTGGGTCTAGTTGAAGCCGGCGGATGACGCCGGATGACTCTCTGAGGCCCAATACCCGCTCGATGCTTAGTCCCTGACCACACTCCTTATCACTGCCTTGCACGTTATCAAGTACTCCCGACGTCCTGGCGCTCTCAACCACAGCAGGTCTTTGCCAAACTAGTGCGCAGTCAAGTCTGTCCTATCCGTTATGACAGGTCGCCGCCGCGCCCAAAGAGACTCCTGAGGACAGGCGCCTCTCCTGTAAGGTGCGTGATTCCCTCGGATCAGCAACAAATGGTCATTGAAGATATTGCAGAGGTGATGCGTCACGAGTCTGTGGGTTCGGGCTCGAGGGTTGGAAGCGCCATTGTTGCGGATCAGGTTTTCCACTCTCCACTGACTCCACTGCAGTCTTCTTGCACTGAGTGGTTCTTTCGCCTGACGTACAGTAACGGTTTAGTTTAGGATTGGCCTCGGTTCAGAAGCGAGTGGAAGCATTGACTTCCTTGCTGAGATTATGTTGAATCGTTCACACATTGGAGAGACCCCGTCAAGGTCTAGCCAGTCAACGATAAGTCCGCACATCATGCAGGGAAAGCTGCTGACATTCACTCTAGTTTTCTTTTTTAATGTTTTCAGTTCTGACCAGAGGTGTCCTGTGGATGTAGGGCGATCGTGACCCTGGCCCCCAGGGCCCAGGGCAGCACCCCACCTGAGAGGGTGCGGCGTAGGCTATAGGCCCTCATGACTGGACCTGCGGATCCTTTGTGGATCTGCCAGAGCTCAGGAGGTGCGGGCATACCATAGAATCCCTAGAACCAACACGATCTCTGCCGCCGGAGTGTAATGGAAGGATGACCGCATTGTGCTGCTGCGAGCGCTGGCTGCAGAGGTTGGGACTGCCGGGTTTGCGGATGCTGCCAAGGGTGATGTGGGCGTTTGGGGACTTCAGACACTGTGGAGGGTTTGACCCTGCTGAAGGGTTGGAAGAAGAAGCAGGACAGCGCAAAGCCGCCCCTGCTACTGAGCACCAAACAACAATAACACAAACAATGATGAATTACTGTGTTAGTCCTACGTCATCATCAGCATGAGCTTTAGTGCGGTCAGGGAACGACCCGTATCAATAATGCTCCATGCAGGCGATTGGCACAGGCCTCATCGCCCCTTGCCTGAAGACAGGGCATAAACTTCAGGTTGTTTGTGCAGTTCGTTGTGAGCATGTAAGCAGTTGATTTCGGTCCAGAACCTAGTAGACTTGCTCCTGCTGGAGCGCTGCAACGGCAGCGGTCCTTTGATCTAACCGAGTTTGCATCGTCAATCTTGCTCGGGCCCCTGAACAGCTAGCCTCGTGCTTTTGGGCCCACCCCACATCAAGACAACTGTTCTTGCCAGAATCCAGAGGTGATGGAGGGAGAACCTTTGGTGGGCTGATGCTACAGAGTGTATAGGGTCACCAAGCTCTGATTGTCATGGACTTTGGCCGATTTGTTTGAGCCTCTTCTCGGTCCTTTGTGGTGTACGCGGCATGCCTGACAGCTTTGCTGCGCCTCGTGGCTTCCGCCCCACAGCTTGTTCCCAGTCAATTGTGGTAATTAATGTCCACATGCTCCTTACCCAGGTCCTCTTCGGCTGTGGATCAGTCTGCGCCACTCTCTCTGGAGCGTACAGCGGCGTTTGGCAGGTGCCCAGGTTTTCTTCAGGTTTCATGTCATGGTTCACGCAAGCTACAAGAACTCAGAGAACTCCAAGTGTCCCCATCGTGCACCATTCTGCCATATACTTGCAAAGCTGCGTCTGAAATCGGAGCCATGCCTTTCATGGAAAGCATCATCCCGGGCATCCAGTGGCCTGAAATTGTAGCCGTGAAAGAACGCATGCTGACAGCGACGGGCAAGATACGGATTGATTCCCGAGATCGGACGTCATGTTACTGTAGTTACCGGCTGCCTTTGTGGAGAAAGACCGACAGAGGAGAAGAAGCGAATTGCCGCGTGAGTTTCTTCTTTCCACATTTCGGGTGCGGTTCCATGCAGGTCCAGACGCAAGCAGCAAGCAGCGAGCCCATAGCACGAGCCACCAAAAACCACAAGAATCCTTTTGATAAGTCTTCGATTTCCCGACCAAGCTCTCATGGTCAGCCCTTGAGGTTGCTGCCGTGTGGGGCCTTGGCGTGTCACTGGCCATCTATTGCACTGCAGAGGCTCATAGAGGGTTTAGGGTTAGTCCCAGGGAACGAAGAGGGGTGCAGCGGTCTCAGTCAGCAGGGGACGGAGGTGCTACAAGTTGGATTCGCACTCCGTCTGGCCGGAGTTGTCCTATTCACATGGTCCGTGTCTTCATCGAACTTGACGAAACACAACCTGCTCGCCAGTGGCAGTTCCGGCTGCAAGTCCCGAAATTGTAGGTTCTTATCACCTGGCAGTGAAAAGATGTGCGTGCCTCCTCTACCAGCAACATGGGGTAAAGCGGGGATGACCAGTAGAGAAGCAAGCAGCGATTCAAACAAAGGAATGGTCGTGACGATGTCAAGCAAAGCAAGCACCCTGAATTGCCCTCATCGCTGTCATCTATCCTCACGAGTTTCGTCACAATCGCCATGGCGAGTACGATGATGAAACACAGTCGGTATCCATGATATGCCGCTATATTCTAGATCTTGTCTCCACATCTGGGAGCTTGGCTACACCGTCTCTGCTGTCAATTCGAGAAAGAAGTAAGATTCGCCGACTGCCCTCGTACTTATGTGATGTCAATCCCGATGTTTGCCAGAGGTTGCCTATTGAACCCGTGAATGGTTCCGACTGTAGTGATTCAAACTGAGCTGGTGAAGGGAAGCCCAGGGCAAGTGGGCATGAAGCTTTCTGTCCACCGACGTTGCCTGTTTTTGTTCAAGCTCATTAACCCTTGTAGTGGGCCCCTCCCCTTCTACCTGGAAAGCGAAAGCGAAAAACTTTAGAACGTGAAAGAACCCTCCAGGCCAGTGGCGCTCATCTGAACCCGGCTGTCACACTTGCCTTCCTGTGCCCGGACAGTAAAGTAACTAGGATTTGTTGCGTCGGTGCTCTTTGTTGGACAAGGGAGTCGTAGGAGACACTCGAAGAAGAAAGCTTGGAGGTCGTCGATATCTCTCCTACATAATAGGGATACGGGCCTCATTGGGTGAGGGTTTCCTGATGTTGAGCTTTGGCTTTCGCTGCTGATTAGCATCTTTTGGGGCGAGATGTTGTCCCGGTAGCTTGAACATAGAGATAACTGGAGCATATCCTTGTAAATTATTATAGTTGAATGAAGACGTTTGAGACTGAAAAATGTCCAATAAGCCACCCTGCTGTATGTAACAACCTCCACAAAGTGTGAGTCCTAGTGGTTGACAAGACCTATGTTTCTCCAGTTTAGTGTGCTGCCTGGGGTTACCCACTATCACCTTAAAACCTTGTAATGATGAACGCTTCTATGTGAAGAGACGTTTAGGCTCCAGGTTTGGACTCTTGGAGGACGACAGATCCAGCTGTGATGTCGAACGGTTGTCCTTTAGTGCAGAGATCCCTCTGTGGCAACATATACTGCTCCTAGCACGAGTGATGGTCAGCTTCAGAGTGTGGGAGGTTTCAGTTAAGTGATGTAATCGAACCTAACCTAAAGCTGAAGCTTAAGATGTCAGGCATATAGGGCCCAGGGGCCCTCCAGGATGGCGCTTCTCAAAGACCCAAAGTTCTGTGATGATTGTGACCGCCCTTGAGACTGTATCCCAACGTCTTCCCGCTTGCAAGGCTCGTGCGCCCTCAGGCGCACGGAATGACCGTGGTGAAGTCGCTGCTGCACAGCATCCGCATGAGTTTGCAGGGCTTGATGTGATGCTTGGTTCCCAGATCTTGTAAGGTGTTCGGGAGTTTGTTTGGCTCTGGAATCCGGTGGATTTTCCTTGATTCTGGAAAGTCCAGGCTTTGATGGGGTCGATGCTTTGGAAGACCCAAGAGCCCTGGACGTCATAAAAAAACAAGTGGCTGCCTGCATTTCTCCAATAAGGCATTGAACATGAGCCGTCCCCCGTCCCCTGACTGATCCCAAGATCCCGAAAATGGATCGCAACCCTCAACAGTCACAGATCTTGCTTGAGCACGGTCTATACTTCCAAGCACGGACCATACTGGCAGCAAAATGCCTTTTTTCCCTAGACTCCCATTCATAGCCCAAGCGGTGGGCCAAGCAAGGTACGTAGTGGCACAGATGGTTGGTGCCATTTTGGCTGGAGCGATGCTGGTCCGAGAATATTATTTCGTGTGACTCGTACGAGTGCGGATTGAGGGATTGGCAATGATGAACACAGGACTTATTGATACCGGTAGTAAGCTCTTGATCAGGATATATCTACGACGGAAGCACCGTCGCAACGTGTGGACCGTCTCCAGATGCCCTTCATATCATGCATGTATGTCCTTGATAGGACACTAAAGCCTACCAAGCCCTCACATTCAGAGCTGCTTCAGACATCATCAAGACACCTCCAAGCATGCTGGTCTCAATAGTGGTGTTCCCCTTCCTCCTCTCCCCGGGACCGAATCCAAGCAAGCGGCGAGTTGAATCTCCACTTCCTCGTGAAAATCACACGAGTACGTCAGGATGAACCTCCTCATCTATGGCGGCACCATTGCTGCCTTTGAACGTGAGTGGCCTGGCTCAGGGCTATGCTCAGAAGTTCTGGCTCGTATTTTGTTGAGATAGGATCAGCGGTCAGCTGGGGTTAAGGGTTGATGAGGCTTCATGTTTGAGGTGAGGATGTTGGTTCGGACTTTGGTTTCAGGGTTTGTCCCGGTGACCGAACTATGCACAATAGTCTCCCGAGCCGTGCTCTCGCACGTTGGCTCAACTGTTTCCCCATCATGGTTCCCAGCGGTTCCGAGCCTTCTCGTATGTTGACGGGGTTTGCAGGCTTCTTTGTTACAGGAGGTTATCGAGCTTCACCGCAAGCCTGTCTTCACCTCTGCCTCCAGTGTAGCTTCTGTTTTCGGCCTGGACCAGGAACAACATCGTCCGTGGCGAGCCCAGATCGATCCTTTCAGCTTCAGCATTTGGTGAGTGACTCGGCTTCGAACAGCCGAAGAATGAGGCCCTCATCTTCGTTTTTTGTGAGATCAAGGGCCCTCCCTGAAACCAGGTAACTCTGAGAACATGGGGTTGCTGCACTCTTCTGCGGAACATTGAATATAAGTTCATGTCACTCCATGAGTTACTAGTAGCACCAGGTACTTCCCGAATCCGGGTCTCTCCAAAGAGTACGGCTCCGGCCCATACACCCAAGACGACGTCTCGGTGTTCGGCGCCCTCATGACAGAGGCGCGTGATCGCGTCAATTGCACCAGCTGCCAGTAAACCCGCCCCGAAATGGGACCCCAAATGTGAGCAACCCATATCTCAAGTTGGGGGTATACTTAGAGTAACCTTAAGGAGGTATGGCCAGAGGAGGCCTTAATGTGTAGTTTGCGGTGGAGAGATGTCTGCTACAGGTAGGAGAGTCCGTGTTGAACACTTTTCGTGAGGCCTGGGGAACCCTAATTCTCGCCTTCGTCATCTTCGGCATCACCAACGGCCGAAACAAGGCCATCCTGCTGCAAATGCTGGGTCCGTGGATTTCCGCAAGCTTCACACGACCGTTCCCTGCTTATTGGTGGTTCATCATTCGTGCTGAAGTAAATCGTTGTTTAGGGCGTGGTGGTGCTGTCGTGGTCGTGGCATCGACAACAGCATTTTGGTAAACAGGCTTCTTATAGGCATTCAAGCAAGGGTGCCTGTGCTGCATGGTAGAAATGTATGGCATGTCAGTTTGCGTCACGATGTTTTGTTTGCCTTTTCCTGGCATCGATTGATTTGAGCACCATCGCCGGCATTTAACTTTTGGACCGCGAGAGAGAAGACTTGCGACATCTACAGACTTTAGTCAGGTTCTTAAACAGGAATTTTCGAACGTTCCTCTGGCCTCAAACCAGGAACGACCCTTGCGTCATGTCGGGATGTGTTTTGAAAAAACCAGGATGTGCTGGGCACGGAAGGAGAGATCAAATATATGATCAACCGAACGATGAGCAGGGGGGACATGACTTGCACCATGCATGATTCTGCACAAAGACGTGAACGAAAACTCAGCCAAGCAGGCGACGACAGGCTAAGACTGCGAGATCTCTGACAGCATCACAGAAGCAAGACGACATGCTGCAAAGCGGATGTGCCGAAAAGTAAAGTGAGCAAGTCATGTGCTTGCTTAGACTTGGAGACGGTGACAGGGCGGCTAGGCAGCTGTGCGGCAGCCTGACACGAGTTCGCAGATGTATCGACACCGCGTTGTGAGCGAAGTTGGCTTGTGCAGGTGCTTGGCAGCGCGGAGCGCGTCGGCGTTCCCTTCGTTATCGGCATGACGGTGGCCGTCCTCCTCCCACTGTACGCACCGATCACTCAGGCATCCACTTGATGATTCAAGTCTCACGCTTAAACGGCTCTGATTGCCCCTTTCCGAAGCCATCTTCTACGAGTTTGGGATTGGTGGTTGATGTTGAGTACTTCATGCTCATGGCGATCTGAGGTATAGGCTCAGATGTTTGCTCAGTAAACACACAGCAACAGGGGAGAAGTCTGGAGATCGCAGCTGCTGCGTCGATGTTCATCGGTTTCTTACTCGAAATGCTCACCACGGACATGTCTTAGCTGTGTTAAGGCCTTGGATCCCCCGGGTATCCCCATGATTGCCCTATGGTTGTTTACATTGCAATGCTGACTCGGTCAGGCTGGGTGGAACCCGGCGCGAGACTTTGGCCCTCGCATCGTTGCGGTGCCTTGCAAAGGGGTTCGGGTTCGGCACACCCGACAAAGTCTATTCCGGTGTAATGCCAAGCATGACAAGGAACAGTGCACGACAGCTTTCGGGGCATTTTTCCCAGTCCATTGTCGGACTTATGGTCAGGCGTTGAACAGGCTGCGCGAAGCACAGCTCGGCGGCTTGTAGGACTTAGACACTGAATCTGAAGCCGTGCTGTGGCATAGCTTCGTCTCAATACTGTCAATACTCATCGACTCGCACATCTCCAGACTGTGCTGCGTGAAGCGCTTCGGGCATGGGCATTGAAGCCCAAGTCTGTCAACACTAGGGAAGCATGGTGCACCAGGCTTGTATGGCCAACGCCCTCGTGACCTTCCGCTCTGCGCATGTAGCATTAGAAACACAGGCCCCAGAGAACTTGCAGCAGCAATCTCAAAATCCCAAACGAATCTGACAAAGCCTGTCGCCGGCCAGGCCATGTAAATCAGGATCTTGAACTGCGTGTTTGGGTCCCTCGAACTCCATCCGAGTCTGTATGTACATCCCGGGCACTTCAATGATGCGGGAGTCCGCGACACCCCCGAAGCTGGGATGATGGGATTCGCACGCACGCACAAAAGAACGATGATGATCATGTCGAATAGAAAGTCTTACTTATGGTGGAAGTTACTGGTAAGTATGGGCAAGCTTGCTGATGGTAGCGGTGGCAGTGGAAGCAGCAGCAACAGCGCACGCAATGCGCAGCAGCAGAAGGACCAGGTAGATTATAGTGTGTACAGTGTACAGCTGCACGTGTCAAGCTCAAGCAAAGCAAGCAGGAGAAGCCGCCCCCAGGCCCAAAAACTGAACGGCCGTACTTCTTGGCAGGCTTTGGGCGGATGGGGAGAGGTGGCCATCCCTGGTCCACGCAGTGGCTTCTGGACACTGGGTCCTGACTTTGGTTGCACATCTAAAAGGGTTGCGGCGTTGAGGCGAGACGTGTTAATGGCATGTTGAGTGGTGCTACTTCAAGTCTAGGACTCAGAGATGCAGTCATTTGTACTCGGGTATCTTGCCAACAGGCAAACAGCTGCATATACCTATACATACGTATATACAAAACAACATATACATTACGTACACATGTGTATGCATGTATGCATGCATGGATGTATGTATGTACGTGTGTATGTACATAT